TTTGCAGTTGCAGGTCTGGGCCCTAGAGTGAGAGGCACCTGGGCACCAGTGCCACCTCTGCCACTAACTAGTCGTCTCATCTCGGCCTAGTGACTTAACCTCCCTGAGCCTCCGTTTCTTTCTTCCTCTGTAGCACAGGCTGTGACGATGCTCCCACCCTAGAGGCATGCTGGGGGGGCAGGACTTCAGAAATGATGCCTGGAGCACACAGTCAGCCTTAGAACTTGGCACAGAGCGGTTCTCAGTGGCTCCCAGATGTTACTGCAACCTCAGACAGCTTGGGGGAGCTCAGCCTGGGGGAGGGGGCCCAAATTTTCTGCTTTTAACCACCTGGCTGAAAAGGGCTATGCGGCTAGAACGGGCTTGCCTCGCCCCTGGCAGAAGCAGCTCCACACCTGCTGTCTTCAAAAGTCACATTGACTTTGGGAAGCCCTAAACGTGAACCCATTCACACTGAGTGTCAGTCCAGGATTTCATTTGTTTGTAAAGATGAAGTCTCATTCTCTTGCCCAGGTTGGCATGCAGTGGTATGATCACAGCTCACTGCATCCTCCAACTCCTGGGCTCAAGCACCCCTCCCACTTCAGCCTCCTGAGTAGCTACACCAGGAGTGCACCACCACATCTGACTACTTTTTTCAGAATTCTTTTTCTTTTTTTGAAACAGGGTCTTTCTCTGTTGCCCAGGCTAGAGTGCAGTGGCAAAATCATGGCTCATTGCAGCCTCAACCTCCCAAACTCAAGTGATCCCCTCTCCTCAGCCTCTCAAGTAGCTGAGACCACAGGCATAAACCACCACACCCAGGTAATTTTCTTTTTTTTTGTAGAGACAGGGTCTTGCTATGTTGCCCAGGCTGGTCTCAAACTCCTGGGATTAAGCGATCCTCCCAGCTTGGCCTCCCAAGTGTCAAGATTATAGATGTGAGCCACTGTACCTGGCCTCAGGATAATTTTTAATCTCTGCTTTTAAAAATATTGTCCAACTTTTAGATGAACCCCTAAAGCAGGGATCAGCTGTTTTCTGTAAGGGGCCAGATAGAAAATATTTTTAGCTTCACAGACCACACAGTCTCTTTTACAACTACACAACTCTGCCCAGGTACCTGGAAAGCAGTCATAGACATGTAAAAGAATAACTGTGTCTGTGTTTCAATAAAACTTGATTAACACAAACAGATGGAGGGCAGGATTCAGCCCAAGGACCAAAGATTACCAATCACTGATCCATGAGATCAACATTGTCTAATAGAAATAGAACCCAAGCTACATTTTTAATTTAAAATTTTCTAGTAGCTACATTTTAAAAAGTATGAAGTATAGCTGAACACAGTAGCTTGCTTTTTTCAAGACGGAGTTTCACCATGTTGGTCCGGCTGGTCTTGAACTCCTGACCTCAGGTGATCGCCTGCCTTGGCCTCCAAAGTGCTTGGATTACAGGAGTGAGCCACCACTCCCAGCCAGAAGAAATTTAATTTTAATAATATATCTTATTTAGCCTGATATCTTCATAGCATTATCATTTCAAAATATAATCAATATAAAAATTACTGGCTTTGGGAAGCCGAGGCGGGCAGATTGCCTGACCTCAGGAGACCAGCCTGGACAACGTGGTGAAGCCCTGTCTCTACTAAAATACAAAAAATTAGGCAGGCATGGTGGCGGGCACCTGTAATCCCAGCTACTCAGGAGGCTGAGGCAGGAGAATTGCTTGAACCTGGGAGGCGGAGATTGCAGTGAGCCAGGATCACACCACTGCACTCCAGCCTAGGCAACACTGTGAGACCCTGTCAAAAAAAAAACAAACAAACATATATATATATATAGGTTGGGGTGTTTTCCATTCCTTTTTTCATTCTAAGGCTTAGAAATGCTGTCTTGTACACTTACAACCCATCTCAGTTTGGAATCGTTGCATTTCCAGTGCTCAGTACTACACAGACCAGTGACTGCCATATTGAACAGCTCAGCTCCAGTGGGGAAGACTAAGACCAAAACTCTTATCCTCCTAATAATGTTACATTGAGCCTTCCCCACTGGAAGAGGTAAATCATACTCCATTACAAACTGATAAGTGCCATGAAGGGAAAGCAGGGGGCGCTATAGGCAGGGACAGGGAAACATTACAGAACTCTTGCAGCACTCGTGCCCACCCTTGCTCAGTCACTCATGGGAGGCCAGTGTCTTTTCTCAGACCCAACCACCACACGCCTCAGCTCAGGCAGCTGTAAAATGGAACACTGAGTGAGTCTTCCAGCTGATCTTTGGTCATCCCTCGTCTGCGGCCCGAGACATGACTTGCTTTGGTTTCTCATGGTTTTCTCAGGTGCCAAGTCACCAACACCGCAGCCTCTCACCCAGGGCAGCTGTAGTTGGTTTGCAAGGCCACTGGCTGGGATAATTTTTTTATCCAGGACAAAAGGAAGGCAGCATTTGAATTCAGAACGGCAATTTGAATCCCCAGACCTGGTGTGATTTTTGCCCCTGCCATTTGCTAACCAGGTGACCTTGGGCAAGTGGCTTGACCTCCTTAAACCTCAGTTTTCTAATCTGTACAATGGGGTGGGTGGCAGCAGCCATTTTGTGATTGGTGTGCCCATGGAGACAGACTATCGTGAAAGCTGTGGCACACGGTAAACCTTTGGTGTCATATTTTTTTTATTAGCCCATCAGGGATGCTCCCCCCACCACCAAGATTCTGAATTACTTGCCCCCTCCTCAGGGCTCACAGGAGCCGCAGGAGTGTTTGCACCTCCTCCTGTGTTGTGGTTCCTACTGGCCGTAGCTGCATCACCCACTCAACCACATGTCCACAGAGGGGAAACTGAATCTTGTCCCTCTAAGCAAGAATAAAAATCTACGCGTGGGGTCAGGTGCGGTGGCTCAGGCCTGTAATCCCAGCACTGTGGGAGGCTGAGGCAGGTGGACCACTTGAGGTCAGGAGTTCGAGACCAGCCTGGCCAACATGGTGAAACCCTATCTCTACTAAAAATACAAAAAATTAGCTGGGTGTGGTGGCGTATACCTATAATCAGTTACTCGAGAGGCTGAGGCAGGAAAATCACTTGAACCTGGGAGGCAGAGGTTACAGTGAGCTGAGATCATGCCACTGCACTCCAGCCTGGGCAACAGAGTAAGACTCTGTCTCAAAATAAATAAATAAATAAATGTAAATTAAGGAAAATAATCTACCCGTGACTTGGTGATTTTCCCTTTGTCCAGCTTCTAGAACTTTTTTTTCTGCCCTCCCCACAGTGACTTCCCCTTCTCAGGGAGATATTTCCTGATGTTCTGTTGCCAAACTGGGTCAGCCTCGCTGCGCCCCCCAACCCCCACCCCCACAACTTACACACTCCCAGGGCCACCCTGGGCTTTTCTTTCAAGTGTTTAGCACTTGTAATTAACGAGTCATCTGGGGAAGCTGCCTTAATGCCAGTGTCCCTGCCCGATGGTAAGTCCCGTAAGGGTGGGGCCCAAGTCTGCCTTATTCATGGCTGGGTTCTCAGCCCACAGTGCTTGGCACATAGCAGGTGCTCAGGAAACGTTGGTTGAGGGAATGAGAGGCTGTCATTCGTGCTGAAGGTGAGAGACCAGGGACTTTCTCAGAATAACAGTGAGAGAGATTACCAAACTTTGGTAATAGATCTTTTTTTTTTTTTTGAGACAGGGTCTCGCTCTGTTGCCCAGGCTGGAGTGCAGTGGTGCTATCATGGCTCATGGCAGCCTTGAAATCCTGGCCTCAAACAATCCTCCCACTCCGCCTCCTGAGTAGCTGGGACAACAGGCACGCACCATCATGCCTGGTTCATTTTTTATCTTTCGTAGAAACAGGGTCTCACTATGTTGCTCAGGCTAGTTCCTGAGCTCAAACAGTCCTCTAGCCCCAGCCTCCCAAATCGCTGGGATTAGAGGCATAAGTCACCACTCCCAGCCTGAAACTAACCTTTTTTAATCATTTGTTCAACATCCACCATACATTTCCACCCCTTTCAAAGAAGGTAATTCTGTTACCCTCCAGTATTTGCTGAAGTTGTTTGATATCTTATGATAGCTTTAGCAATTTCTCTTTAATTTTCAGTGGCGAGAAATATTATCCAGATGTGTCCCACTTTCAAATATGATAAAACATGTATCATATTTGAACTTCCAGTCCACCCTTTACTAATAACAAGTGTTACCAACACACTGTGTACGGGCCCTGTGCTCAGCACTAAGGTGCAGCTCCATTTAATCCCAACAGGGCTTGGAGGTAGGTCCTGTCATTTACCCCAAGTTTTACAGATGAAACCGAGGATCAGAGAGGGACAGTGATTTGCCCAAGGTCACACAGCCTGCACACGGTGGAGCTGGGCTTTCAACCCAGATTTTCTAACTCCAGAGCCCATACTTTTAGCCTTCATTTCTCCTCCTTGCCCCTCCCCCATCCCATGTTTGCATAGGTAGAAAATGACTAAGGCCAGGTGCGGTGGAGGCAGGGAGGTTGCTGTAATCCCAGCAATTTGGGAGGCCAAGGCAGGAGGATGACTTGAGCCCAGGAGTTTGAGAGCAGCCTGGGCAATGTAGCAAGACCCCATCTCTTCAAAAAAAGAAATATGTCCGGGCCTGGTGGCTCATGCCTGTAATCCCAGCATTTTGGGAGGCTGAGGTGGGCAGATCACCTAAGGTCAGGAGTTTGAAACCAGCCTGGCCAGCAGGGCCAAACCCTATCTCTACCAAAAGTACAAAAAATTTAGCCAGGCATGGTGGCGGGTGCCTATAATCCTAGCTACTCAGGAGGCTGAGGCAAGAAAATTACTTGAACCCGGCAGGCAGAGGTTGCAGTGAGCCAAGATCACACTCCAGCATTCCAGCCTGGGCGACAGAGAGAGGCTCCTTCTCAAAAAAAAAAAAAAAAAAAAAAAAAAGCCTACAGATGTTTCCTTGCAGAAAAAAAAAGAAACAAAAAGATGAAATTTGCTTGCAGATGCCATAGTTACATGACCCTTTCTCCTGTTGTCTCCAAAGGTGGTGGCTCTTAGTAAGAGAAGTCAGGAGGCGGAGGCGGCTTTTCTGAGTGTTTACAAGCAATTAATTGAAGCACCAGGTAAGAAATCCTTGGCTCTGTAATTGAATAGTTAACGACAGTAAATAGCCATTAGGACTATGACACAGGGACTTTGAGGTGGGATGTGGAGACACGCCTGGGCTCCTGGGTAAGGCCAGGCACTCTGCATAGGGCAGGAGGGTTGTGGCCAGTCTAGTGTGACATGTCCCCACAGGGCGCCCCCCCATCTTCCCTCATCGTGTTGTCATATCAGCCAGGAGCCTACCTTAGGGGGGCTCCTGGTGAGATATCCCACCTAGACCTCCTCGAGGAACTGGCATCTTACCCTCTAGAGTCTCCATCCCATTGGCACAGAATGAGGGCATCCAGTGCTCTCTGCCCACAGGTGGCAATAGAGACAAGACCTCCAGTGCCTTCTCCAGAATGACACAGCCAACTCCAAAAATCTGCTGTTGAGTAAAAGCCAGCCCAGAAGAGCACATCTTGTATGATTTCATCTACAGAAAATCTAAAAACAGGCAATTAACCTTAATCAGTGGCCAAAACGGGGAAGCAATTCACACGGCCATTGACAGATGGATGCACAAATGTGGCCTACACCTGTGCCTGTGGCCTACACCTGCTAGGGAGTATTACTCAGCCATGTAAAGGAATGGAGGGCTGGGAGCAGTGACTCACACCTGTAATCTCAGCACTTTGGGAGGCCAAGGCAGGCAGATTACCTGATGTCAGTTCGAGACCAGCCCAACATGGTGAAACCCCATCTCTACTAAAAATACAAAAATTAGCTGGGTGTGGTGATGGGCATCTGTAATCCCAGCTACTCAGGAAGCTGAGACATGAGAATTGCTTGAACCCAGAAGGTTGAGGTTGCAGTGAGCCGAGATTGCGCCTGCAGTCCAGCCTGGATGACAGAGCAAGACTCTGTCCTCTGCTCAAAAAAAAAAAAAAAAAAAGGATATGGAGCTCTGATGTGTGCTTCAATGCAGACGAACCTCAAAAACAGTGCTGAGTTTCAGAAGCCAGAAACCAAGTCCACAGAGTGTGGGATTCCATTTACATGAGGCGTCCGGAACAGGCAAAGACATGGTTGGAGACGGAGGTACCCGGTGGGTGCCAGGGCCCCGGGGCAGGGAGCTTGCACAGTGACTGCTTAACCATATGAGTTTCTTTCTGGGGGATAAAAATGTTCTGGAACTAAACAGAGCAAGTGGTTGTGGAACATCAAAAATGCACTAAATGCCATTGAATTGTTCGCGTTAAAATGATCAATTTTCTGTTGCATGAATTTCACCTTAATTGGAAAAAAAGTCAACCTGTACTATTGGAAATCAAGATAGTGATTTCACTGGCAGGGTGGGCGTTCCTGGGAGGGCCTCTGGGTGCTAGGGCTATTCAGTCCTGGTTCGGGTTATGGTTTGAGAACGTTTGGTTGCACACAAAGGATCTATACATATGCCGGGCGTCCACAGAAGCTTCCCTTCTTTTATTTTTGAGACGGTCTTGTTCATCACCCAGGGTGGAGTGCAGTGGCGCGGCGATCTCAGCTCACTGCAACCTCTGCCCCCCAGGTTCAAGCAATTCTTCTGCCTTCGCCTCCCAAGTAGCTGGGACTACGTGCAGGCACCACTATTCCTGGCTAAATTTTTGTAGTTTTAGTAGCGACAGTATTGTCCTATGTTGTCCAGCCTGGTCTTGAACTGCTGGTCTTAAGTGATCTACCCAGCTGGGCCTCCCAAAATGCTGGGATTACAGCTGTGAGCCACCTCACCTGGCCAAAACTTTCCCTTATTTTAAGTGGCCCATCCCCTACTGACCCAGAGACAGGAGCCCAGAGCGTTGAAACCATCTGCGTACCAATGGCAAAGCCTGGAGGAGACCTTGCTGTGCTAACTCTCCCCACCCAGACCTCCCCTAGTCCTTTCCCCATCCTTCCACACAGTGGCAGAAATCAGCACTACGAGGGTTGTTTGGGGCTGGGGCTTGTGAAGAGGAAAATGGCATCCCACCCTGAGCTGTACCACTGTAAACCAAGCCACAGAGAACAGGAGTCGTTTAGGTTTGATGTCAGGGTCATGTCTGGGATCTTGTATTTGGGGTGGGAAAGTCCGCTGTTCCTCTCTCTGGGGCAACTGTAGTGGGTTGGATAGTGTGGCCTCCAAAATTTATGTCTACATGGAACTCCAAAACATGACCTTATTTGAAAATCAGTCTTTGCAGATGTAGTTAGCTAAGGATCTCGAGATGAGATCATCCCGGCTTTAGGGCAAACCCTAAATCCAATGACTGCTGCCATAAGAAGTATGGGGCTGGCCATGGTGGTTCAAACGCCTGTAATCCCAGCACTTTGAGAGACGGAGACAGAAGGATCACTTGAGGTCAGAAGTTCAAGACAAGCCTGATCAACATGTGGAAAGCCCATCTCTACTAAAAGTTCAAAACTTGGCCGGGCATGGTAGCGTGCGAGCCAGTAATCCCAGCTATGGAGAGGCTGAGGCAGGACAATCGCTTGAACCCAGGAGGAAGAGGTTGCAATGAGCCGAGATCACACCTTTGCACTCCAGCTTGGGTGACAGAGCAAGACCCTGTCTCAAAAAAAAAAGTAGAGGTGAGGGTACAGAGACAGCCACTGAGGAAAGCCGTGTGAAAACAGAGGCAGAGGTGGGAGGGAGGGATGTCGCTACAAGGCAAGAAGCCCTGAAGACCAAAGATTGCCAGCAACCACGAGACGCTGGAGAGGACGAGGATCCTCGCCTAGAGCCTTTGGAGGGAGTACGGCCCTGCCCAGGTCTTAATTTTGAACTTCTGGTCCCCAGAACTACAAGAGAATAAGTTGTTGTTTTCAGCCCCCAGTTGGTGCTGCCTTTTTACTGCAGCCCTGGGGCACTAATCCAGCAGTGCTGACGAAGCTTGCCCGGTGACAGCACGTGGGCTGGATGAGGAGGGAGGTCTTCTGGCCTGTTGCTATTCAAAGTGTGCTCTGTGGACCAGAAGCATGAGCCTCGCCTGCAAGCTGGTTAGAAATGCTGGTTAGAGTCTCAGCCGGGGGCAGCGGTTCATGCCAGTAATGCCAGCACTTTGGGAGGCCAAGGCGGGAGGATCACTTGAAGCCAGGAGTTTGAGACCAGCCTAGGCAACAGGGAGAAACCCTGTCTCTACAATAAATACAAAAATTATCTGGGCATGTGGTGGGTGCCTGTGGTCCCAGCTACTTGGGAGGCTGTGGTGGGAGGATTGCTTGAACCCAGGAGGTGGAGGCTGCACTGAGCTGAGACCGCACCACTGTACTCCAGCCTGGATGACAGAGCAAGACCCTGTCAAAAAAAAAAAAAAAAAAAGAAAGAGGGGCCAGGTGTGGTGGCGCGTGCCTGTAATTGTAGCACTTTGAAAAGCCAAAGTGGGCGGATCATGAGGTCAGGAGTTGGAGACCAGCCTGGCCAATATGGTGAAACCCCATCTCTACTAAAAATAAAATTTTAAAAATTAGCCAGGCATGTTGGCATGTGCCTGTAATCCCAGCTACTGAGGAGGCTGAGGCAAGAGAATCACTTGAACCCAGGAGGTGGAGGTTACAGTGAGCCAAGATTGTGCCACTGTACTCCAGCCTAGGCGACAGAGCAAGACTCCATCTAAAAAAAAAAAAAAAGAAGAAGAAGAAAGGAAGGGAGGGAGGGAGAAAGGAAGGAATAAATACAAAATCTCGGGTCCCATCCCCAGCCCATGGAATAGGCTTCTGAATTGTACCAAGCTCCCCCGGTGATCCTGGAGCACGTGAAAGTTTGGGATCACAGGCCTGCTGTAGAAGCTGCCTTTGTTCTGTGCCCTGCATTTCACACACCCTGTGGAAGCAGGTGCAAGCAGCTCGCTTCCCTGTGGCACAGAGAGGTTGAGCCTGATGGCCAAGGTCTCACAGGCAGGGAGAGATGTGACGCAGGTCTTGTCACGTATAACAAATATTTCCAGACTCTGCTCCGTGTGATGAGCTGGCTGCACGTGGAAGGCTGCGTTAGTTTCCTAGGGCTGTTGTAATAAATTACCATGGATGCCTTAAAACAACAGATTCATTCCTCGTTCTGAAGGCCACACGCCCAAGATCAGGGTGTCAATAGGGCTATTCGTTCTCTGAAGGCTAGGAGGGTCCTTCCTGGCTTCTTACAGCTCCTCATGGCTCCAGGAGTGCCTTGGTTCTGGCTACATTGGTTTCTCCAGTCTCTCCTCTGTATCTCTGTCTCAATCTCCCTCTCCTTTCTCTCTCTCAGTCTCGCCTTTTTAAAAAATATATGAGGTCTTGCTCTGCTGCCCAGGCTGGAGTGCAGTGGTGTGATCATAGCTCACCGCAACCTCGAACTTTTCTAGGCTCAAATGATCTTCCTCCTGAGCCCAGCTGATTTTTTAAATTTATTTTTTGTAATCCCAAAGTCTCACCATGTTGCCCAGGCTGATCTCAAATTCCTGGCCTCAAGTGATCCTCCCACCTCCGCCTCCCAAATAGCTGGGATTACAGGTGTAAGCCACTGTGCCCAACCTTCTTTCTCTTATAAGGACACTTGTCATTAGATTTAGGGGCCACCTGGATAATCAAGGTTGATTTCATCCTTAATTACACCTGCAAAGACACTTCGATGTTTTTTGTTTTGTTTTGTTTTGTTTTTTTGAAGTGACAGGGTCTCGCTCTGTTGCCAGGGTTGGAGTGCAGTCGTGCAATCTTGGGCTCACTGCAGCCTCGACCTCCTGAGCTCAAGTGATCCTCCCACCTCAGCCTCCTGAGTGGCTGGGTCTGTAGGTGCAGCCACCTTGCCCAGCTCAAAGACACTTTGAATAAAGTCACATTCACAGGTTCCAGGTGTTAGGACACAGAGGTATCCTTTTGTGGTAGACATTCGCCAGTACACAGGCATCTGCTGCCTGTGTCCCATGCTCTGCCCCATCCCGAACTCCCGGGAACAATGCAACCACATGGGTTTCCCAGTGATGAGAGTGGAAGGATGGCAAGAGCTGACGGCACAGCTGCAGGCAGTACTCCCTGCCTGGACACGGCA